TGTGTCCATATCTTCAACCTCCTGTTTCTTCTCACTTTCCCCTTTCATTCTATAAATAAGCCTTTATCATGACTTTAAAAAATAAGGGTGAATAAAGAAGTGAAAAGGTCTCTCAGTCTTCAATTTTTTTCCTCTCTAGGTGCTGTTTTATTTTCAGAGTCAAGTCTCTCAGAATAAGAATCTATACATTGTGTCTTTACCTTCACTGCTACTTAAACTTTAAATAACACACAATGAGCTCATTGTTGATGGCCTACTCCTATAGCTACTCAGAAGGCTGAGATCTGGGAGCCTATCGAGGTTCAAAGTCAACTTGTGTATGAAACTACTTAGGTTCAATTCACCATTGAAAAGCCAGAGTGAGCCCAGTGCTGGTGGCTCATGCCTGGAATCCTAACTACTCAGGAGGCAGCAGGGGAAGGAAAGTCCATGACTCTTATCTCCAATGAACTACCAGAAACTCGAGGTGGCCCTGTGGCTCAAAGTGGTAGAGAGCTAGCCTGGAGTGAAAAAACCTCAGTTTTTCCTCAAGACTCCATCTGAATGGTTCTGCTCCTTTTCCCTGGAAGTCTTCCTTGTGTTCATGGACCCTATTTAAACTTCGAGCATCCATAAAATACCTTCACTGTAGAATCTTCTATAGTAGGACAAGACCCAGGCTGATTTCCTTTAGTAATTCTCTATATTACATTACATGAATTGTGGTTCAAACTTGTAACTCTAGCTACTTGGAAGGCAGAGATTTGTGGAATCATGGTATATAGTCATCTTGGGAATAAAAGTTAGCAAGACTCCATCTCAACCAATAGCTAGGTGTGGAAGTACATGCCTATTATCCTTGCTCTGGGGAAGCACCATGGCTGGGTATAGTGGTGAGCCTGTTATTCCTAGCAACACTGGCAGGCAAAAGTAGAAAAATGCCTGGGCATAAAGACAAGACCTTTTTCAAAAATACCATGAAAAGGAATTGGAGGCCTGGCTCAAATGGTGGAGTATGGCACCAGAGTTCAATCTCCAGTATCATGAAAATAAATAGATAGATAGATAAATAGTTGTCATTTTGCCTCCTTTATTGGAGGCAAAAATTTGCCTTCCTAACATCATCTGGAATTTGTCAATTGCAATGCACAATTGATGATTTCTTATAGTTGGAGAGGGGACTGCTTATTTTCTCACTTGAGCTTCATCCATTTGTTGGGGACCTATTGTGCAGAAAATGCCTTCCTTTCTCCTTCCTTTCTTTTTTTTTTTCAGACAGAATCTCACTTTGTAGCCTAGGATGACCACCATATGAATAAGAATTTTTTAAATTAATATCTTGTTATTATGAAGGTGATGTACAAAGGGATTGCACTTACATGAAAGTACATTTCCTTTTGTATAGTGTCTTCTGTTCCCTCTCTTTCTCCCATCCCTCCCTCCTGTCTCCACCCACGAGTTGTACAGTTCACTTTTGTCAGTGTCCAGTAAGCACCCCTGCTGTGATTTTTCACCCTTGTTCCTCAAGTTCTGTACCCTTCTCCCAACCCTCCTGAAGATATATATGTGAGAGAGTCTGTTAAATAGAGCCCAAAGGCAGAGTTATTTTGCTCAGAGCAGCACATTTGGTGCCAGGAAGTTAGGATACCAATTGATTGCTTTACTTATTTGCTTTGCTTATAAAAGGTGACCAGAACTTTCCTCTGTTAGATAAATAATAATTAAAATCTCTTGCTTCAGTGTGTTTAAAGTGGAGGTGGGAACTGAAGGCATACGTATGTCAAATATTTTATTTGTTGTCAATATGAGCATGAAAATGATAAAAGATGATGATCAAAGAGCCAGGCATAGTGGCTCATCCCTGTAAGCCTATTTAGGAAGCAGAGATTAGGAGGATTATAGTACGAGGCCAGCCTTTGGAAAAAGTTAAGTGAGATCATATCTCAGCCAACCAATAAAAGGCTGGGTGTGGTAGCACACACCTGCCCTTCTAGCTACATAAACACCTGGAGGCAGGACCCAGCCACCTGAGAACCAGGAAACAAGACATGTGAAGAAGAGGATTGTCGTCTAGAACAGCCTCAGCAGAAACATGAGACCCTATTTAGAAATGACTAAAGCACAGGGCTGGGAAGGTGGTTCAGTGGTAGAGTGCTTGCCTTGCATGCATGAGGCTCTGAGTTTGATTCCTCAGCACCACATAAGTAGAAAAAGCCAGAAGTGGCCCTGTGGCTCAGGTGGTAGAGCGCTAGCCTTGAGCTGAATTGCTGATGAACTAATGGATAGCACCCAGGCCCAGAGTTCAGGCCCCAGGACTGGCAAAAAAAATGACTAAAGCAAAAAGGGGCTGTGGGCATGACGCAAGTGGTAGAATGCCTACCTAGCAAATACAAGACATTAAGTTCAATCCTCAATATTGTCAAGAAAAAAAAGAAAAAAAAAGGAAAAAATAGAGAAAATAACCAAACAAATGTCATAAAGTACTAGACAATTTAATTGCTAAATGAGTGGTACTCATTCCACTTTTAAAAGGCAATGTTCCCAAATCTATATTTCATGTTTAAAGACCATATTTATTTTCCCACAGAATGTGATGACAGAAGAAGTGGGTGAGGGGAGAAAAGTAAAAGAGAAGCAGAATAAACACCTGGGAATTAGTCTATTCTCATTTATTACCTATAATACATGGTCTGGGTAGAATTGTGCTCTCCAAAATGTGTGCTGAAGGAACTATTCCCTTGTACTAAATGAGATGACCTTATTTGGAAATAGTTTTTACAGAAACAATCATGGGAAAACGACAGCATTAACTTCTAATGCAATATGATTATATGGAGTCCTCATAAAAATGGGAAATTTGGTCACACACACACACAGACACACACACACACCATGGAAGATGGGGAAAATGGCCGGAAGCAATGTATTTATAAGCCAAGAATGGTCAACAATATCAGATGCTAGAAAAGGAAGAGCAGGCCAGGTGCTGGTGGCTCATGCCCCTAATTCTAGCTCAGGACACTGAGATATAAGGATCCTGGATCAAAGCCAGGTGGGGCAGGAAAGTCTTTGAGACTCTTATCTCCAATTAACCACCAGAAAACTGGAAGTGGCACTGTGGCTCAAAATGGTGGAGTTAGTACTCTACCTTGAGTGAAAAAGCTCAGGGACAGTGCCCAGGCCCTGTGTTCAAGCCCCACCACTGGCAAAGAAAGAAAGGAAGAAAGAAAGAGAGAAAGAAAGAAAGAGAGAGAAAGAAAAGAAAGAAAGGAAGGAAGAGAGAAAGAAAGAAAAAGGAAGAAAAGGAAGAGCTATCACTCCTTAGTACAGCCCTGGAACACCTTCATTTCTCATCACACATCACTTTCCATGTCCAGTTTTACCTATGTTGATGCAGTAGCCTTAGGAGCCTAGAAAGTACAGCCAATAATGAAGATAAGAAGTAATAATGAATCCTATTTACTTTGCCACAGAAAACTTCTTCCGCTTAAGAACAATCTATGCAACATGTTACTATAATTTTATTTCAGAGAACAGTAGATGTGAACAAAATCTGAAAGTTGAGAAAAGTAAGATGGATCATGAGTAGAACTGGTGGTTATGAAAGAAGGATTCATATGCTTGAGTGATGGATGTTAACTGCCATCGAAGGCGGTCAGAAGCACAACATTACACAAAGTCTCCTGTAACCATACGTAAAAGTATCCCAGAAGGGCTGTGGTCTAGGCCGGTCTCAGCAGAAGTGACGTATGTATACCTTATATAAGGGAGTTAGAAGGGAGTCTGTCCAGATGGGATGAATACCACTCTTGTTCTTAATCATTATGATCAAGGATTACCATTTCAAAATATCTGATCAACAATCTTTTTGTCTTCAAAAATCATTCCTTTTCCTGCAACTTCTTTGGATATGGCCACCATCCACGACACTATGCACACTTCTGTTGGGATGTGTTCCAGTTCTCTTGCAAGGGTTGTTCCCAGATAAACATTAGTCTTGTTTGAAGCATCTCTCTCTCTCTCTGAGTTTATGAAATTGACCTAGGAAAGGAGTTTTGCTCAGATGTAATAAGACCTATAGAAACACTCTGCAGTTTTAGGGACGGGGGCCGTAGAAACAGAGAATGCTGGTGAGCACGCCCAGCATTTCCATTCGTGTTCCAGCTTGGGTCATAAGGAGACCACTAAGGAGATGGGAATTGGCTGTGTGTTGTGCACTTGATGGCTGCTGGCGAACCATATCAGTTCAGCCCCAGTCAGCTGCGCACACAGCCTCTGGGCCCGGAGGACCCTCTCCTGACACCTGCTCCTCATCACGCAGTGAATGCAGTGGTGATTGATATCTAGCAGGGAAAGGCAGCCAGCACCTGCGGTTTTGAGATGGCGCAGCCTTTCCCCTGCCTCCTTTGATGGGACTTGATGGATAGAGCATGGCTTCTGTCTGGGTTCGAATCTCTGCCTGAGTCTGGGGCTTCAGTCTGATTGACTTCAAGCATTGAGAGCAGGCGCAGTGCAAACGCATCCTGCTTGTGCTGGAAGGTCCCGGGGACTACCTGTGTGTGACACACACACACAGACTCGAATGTGTGCCTGCAAAGACGCCCCCCAAACAACAACAACAACAACAACAACAACAACAACAACAACAAAACCAGCCTGTGGAAAGAGCGCCTGCGCAGTTGGATCCAGGCTCTAAAAGTACTGGCTCAGAGTTGGTTTTGGCACCCAGGAACCACGGATGCTGGGACTACGATTGATTAATTACTCTTCTCTTTCTGGGACCAACTTTGATTGCCTCATTTTCCTTTTCCAAGTTTTTCCTTGGCCTGTGGGGATTTCTGGATCTTAGGACGTCATCGTGTCCCCCCCCCCCC